CATCCTCTGATTGATTAGTCCAGTTGGATTATGACGTTCTTCTCGACGGATTGTCCGCCAAAATTGTCAATCCTCTGATTGATTAGTCCAGTTGGATTATGACGTCTGCCGCCGCGGTGACTTTTCCTCAAGATCATTGCTGGTAAAAAGAGCAATTTGAACCAACTGATTGAAATAGAGGGTTTATCAATAATTTCCTTTACCACTTTAGCCAGCGTCTGACCAAATTTTGTTCTTGAATGTTTGGGAATGTGATCCATTAAACAAAAACTAGCAGATTTTCTAAAAAACCTCTCTGCCATGTCGATTTTAGAAACCTGTTGCGGTGCAGCACTGCTGATCGAGACGTTGCCGACGGTATTGGCGGCAGGGGCGCAACCGGAAACGTTTCCCAATGACGCGCGTTTTGACCCGGTCTTGGGCTTCGCCAGGGAACCGGAACATTCTGAACCTTTAACCTTTCCTCCATGCTTAACCAATGCGCCATCGGGACGCAAACGAAAATGTTTGGAACATACGCGACAACGAGTGAGAGTGCTAGAACCAGAAGAGGAGCTCTGGCTGGAAGCCATAGGAATACAATAAAACCAATGGAGAATACAAAAAAAAACTACTACCAACGACAACTGTGACTGAAGTGAAGTGCAACGATGGGACAACAAAGGATGGCTGCAATAAGCGCTGGCCGAGAGGAAGTAACACAAACCCACTTGAGAGTATAACGGAAATGTGCTCTGGAGGGCCCGCTAGTGAACGGTGCTGAAGCACACAAAAAAAGAAGACAAAAAAATACGTGCGCTGGGAGCCGTTTAAAGGTTTGTGAAGGTAGGAGGTATGTGAGTCTGGGCCTAGAATAGTGTGTATATATATATGTACTAGTATTTGGCAGTAATTGATTATTATTGATGAATGATTAACTGAGAATAAATGCCTATATATACATATATACACACAGATACATATATATACACTAGTATTTGGTTGTGATTAATTATTATTGATGAATGATTAGCTGAGAATAGATGCCTATATATATATACATATATACATACATGCACTAGTATTTGGTTGTGATTAATTATTATTGATGAATGATTAGCTGAGAATAGATGCCTATATATATATATACATACATACATACATGCACTAGTATTTGGTGGTAATTGATTGCTACTGATGAACGATTAAATGAAGTGATGAATTATGATGAATTAACTAAATTGGTGATTATGGCTAGTTTTTGGTATTGATTGAATATTATTAATGAGCGACTAGATGAGAATACGTACATATATGCAAATTCATAAATGCACCTGCACATATGTATATACCGGCTTATACTAGGAGAAGTAAATACTTAGTTTTTTTGTTTTGTTTTGTTTATGTTTATTTTTTTTCTGTAGAAATTAGTGGAAACCGCGTGCAAGTGTGCAACTGTATGCCAGTGTACGGGAGTAAGAACTTGAAATTACGAAATTTGCTGTTGTACGAATAAATTAAGTTGGTAAACACAAAAAAATAAACGTCGTTTAACTTAAGGTATGCAGGTGAAATGAGAAAAAAAAATTTTGCAGTACAATTGTAAAATGAATATAAGTGAATTAAAAGTGAAAAACGCTTAATATAAGATCAATATTATTAGAAGAATAACGAAAAACAAGATACAAAATTGTAAAATCAAAGTTAGGTTAAAACCAAGTGATAGTGTAATAAATAAATACCAAATTTTAAACTTTATTTTAATAATTCAAAAACTAACCAGTCTGTGCGAGACCAACATACAAAAAAAAAAATTATGTATGTATGTATGTATGTATGTATGTATGTATGTATGTATGTATGTATGTATGTATGTATGTTAAAACCAAAACATGATGAGTGACACTGAACCGTCAAACATCAAGTAACAAATGGATTAACACTTTGATTTGTCGTTAATTGCACATGTCGGCATTCAGTTGGATATTTTCAAGCATACAGACACGCAGGAACCGCTGCAACAAGCACGAAATGTGGTTAGTTGCGAAAAACAGTTCCCTGCCGTCGCCTGATCTGACGCTGATCATTTTACATATTGCCTTAAGAAATTTTAGGGTGTTGGGGTCCATCGGGCCGAGAATACATATTGGCAAGAATTCCATCGAGGGGAGAGCATTCCCATATTTTTTCATTTTCTCGTCCGCTTCCCTGTATGTATGTATGTATGTATGTATGTATGTATGTATGTATGTATGTATGTATGTGTGTATGTATGTATGTATGTATGTATGTATGTATGTATGTATGTATGTATGTATGTATGTATGTACGTATGTTTTTATGTATGTTTGTATGTATGTATGTATGTATGTTTGTATGTATGCATGTATGTGTGTATGTATGTATGTATGTACGTATGTTTTTATGTATGTTTGTATGTTTTTTTCTGAATTTATAATAGTATTAAGGTCGTTCAAAACGGACTCGACATCACCTCCCAATGAAATGTCGTCTAGGTAGGCAACAACAAATTTGGATTTT